TTTGTGTATTTATTATTAGTATTTATTTATTATAGACTTAGTGTGAATGATTAATATTAGTAACTATTTAAACAGACATAATATTTGTGATGTATCGTCGAGGGGGTTATTATTTTATTTGTCGAGGGTGCCCATCCAAAACAGGTAGAGGACTAAGCTTCTTTCCATTCCCGAAGACTCCAGCAGGTAGTGTAATAATTAGCTATGTATTACAAAATTTGAAATATATTGAATTATTAAGTATATGTTTTGATAATTAATAAAAATCTAAATTTATGTACATTATATACCTACCTAAATAGTATTGAATGAAATAAACTAATCAATTTTCTTTTAGAGCTTCAGCATGGTTGAGAGCATGCAATAGAAAGGATCTTCTCGAGAAAAATCCACAGACACATAATTATCGACTTTGCGAGCTACATTTTGAACAAAAATATTTGTTCAAAGGTGGACTTCGGAAAACTTTATTTATCTTTGTATAAAATGTTACAAATACAGTGTGGTCTGTAAGTAATGGCCCGTAGAGAAATACTGAATTCTTTACTTTTAAGATTTTTTAATAATAAAAGCTCGTTACTTAAAAGCTTTCCGTTACTCATAAAAAGAGTTACGCTCACATTTACGTCACATACTTGGCTTATGTGGTGCCCTCTAGAAAATACATCGAAATAAATAACAGATGATCTCTCGTACCAAAAACATTTACCCTAAAATGTTTACATTCTTATATCCAATAACATAATTATTACCAAAATTTAATTTTTAACTTCGACACCCTGTATCTTTTTTATTATCAACATTTTATTAAGAAATGTTGGCTCCAATCGTAATATTTTGAAGTAAAGAATCTAGTATTTCTTTATGGGCCTATGGAATAGTAAATAATATTGTGAATTTAATATTAAAAAATAAATATTTTTTTTGTGGTATTTGGATTTATTTATAACTATATTCCATCTACACGAAATTTTTAATTATAGTAGTAACAGATGCGTACCTATCATGTGTAAATCAAATTAGCTTTTTTTTAATTAAGCATAAAATCATGCCTTACATCGACAACCAATGTAATATAATTTATGTCCAACTGATTGTTTTATGCCACAAGCTATTGAAAATTGTACTGGAATTATGGATTATATTATTCATTCATAATCATATAAAAATTTAAAGGCTTAATATCTCAAAGTAAATTTTATAAACTGTTTTTTCAGTATATCTCTGATAACCTTTCTCTCAGTGTAACATGTTGTTCATCACCGTTCAAGGTCGAATATTTTCACCACGCCAACATCAAAGGAGCCGCCGTTTATGTCGCTTCTGTGTAGTTAGGATATTCTGTGTCTAAGGCAACTTTTTTTAAAATATTCTGTTATTTGCTTTCATATTTTTTTTTACTGTGTTCTAAAGGTATTAAGCTTAAAAAATTTTAAATTAGTTTGAATTAGTCTTGAAAATAGAGAACATTTTCATCCAAAGTCCTCTCCTTTCATTACTGATCGCACTTACCTGTAATCACATAGTGTATTTCGCCGATCCCCCAAGGCTTAGCCGGATCCATTTCCGCCCTAATTATGTTTGCTATGCTGTTCTGAAACTGGGGCCTCAAGTCGATCATATTAGGATCAGGAATGACCATCAAATTGTCATTTTCGTCATACAGCCGCACGACAGAAGAGATACACTTCCCTATTTCAACTTTATCGGCCATCTCCACCCTTATGATACCCACGGAAACGACGTTAATGACCAGAGTCGCCGGTTTAGATACCAGGCATAAATCAATTACTTGCACAGTCAGTTCTCCGGATCTTATGGGGATAATCTCTATTTCTTTGCAGCTTTCTATGTATTTAACCGTAGCGATATCGTCCGAGCTCAGAGCCAGTTCGAAGTACCCCGAGCCTTGTTTGACCGTCACTATTTGTTTATTTCCGGGATGATTGAAGAGCGTCACCATGTTCGGGGCAATTACTGTATTATTCACCAAGTACAAGTCGAGCGAGGCTGCGATAGGAGCCAACTCGATCTTGCCGTCTTCCTCGGTCTTAAATGGCGGCGATTCGGGTGTGATATCGTAAGCTTTTAAAATATTTAATTTGTAACCGGTAACTGTGACGTTCACCTCCAAATTTCCCACTTCTATGTTGGGGTGAAGAGATTGATAACTTTTTAGAGCAATGGGCGCACTTCCTATTGTGATATTTTTCGGGAATACGCCGTTTTTACTCAGAAAATCTGCACCGCTGCTTGGTGTAACTGTCCACACAAAGTTGAGGCTGGAAATGTTTAAGAATTTGTTTCCGCAGTCATCATAGATGACGACGCTTAAATCGATATTTTTCGTGCTTTGAACGACGACATTTCCCGAACTTAAGTCCATCGGACAGGCATTTGCGTCCGCTATTTTCAATTCCGGTTGGAGAACGAGTTTCCTGGGTTTTCCGCAGGTGACTCTTGTGGTTACCGAGCTAGACTGAGATTTGCAATTGGACGCAGAAGGCGAATTCGTTATTATCAGTTTTACGTCAGTTTCACCCAACTGGTGGCACAGGACTTGCACCACACTGAAATCCTCTCCGGGTAGCGTGTAGAACTGAGAAACATCAGCCGCCGTTACGATATTGGTATCTTCGCTCACCACCACTTTTTGGTGATCTCCTGGCCTACTTATGAAAGGCCTTGGACCACCGACATAGAGTAAGTTGATGGTTGTACCCACGGCCAGCACTATATCTCTGTTCGGTTCCAGTAATTTTAAGGTGTTGTAAGCGCTGACTGTTACGGAGTCTTCCAGGGCTCTGCCGTCTTGGAAGTATGTGACAGTGACCTGCAAAAAATTAAGTTAGATGCCCCGATAAGTACTTCTTAATGTTTTTTTTTTTTGTTTTTCAAATGTCAAATTTTGTGGAATACATCATATTAGAACGAGGGTAACGATATACTTACTTTACTCGTTCCGACTTCCAGGGCAGTCATGGCGATATTTCCGCAGGATATGCCGACCGGCGCTAAAATCGAAGATTTATTCTGTCGGAACTTAGTATCGCTCTGTTTAATTTGGAACGGTAGATCCTGGCATTTCGTGAAGGGAAGCTGAATAGTTGTACCGTCCCTCTCTTGCTCTGCATAAAGGGCTATATGCAAGTAAACCGGCTGGCCGACCTCCGATTCCATTACGAATTCGACAATTTCCAACCGGGACGGTGGCAAGATAATGAATTTGGCGGATTGCCGATTGTGATGATTACGTAACATCACCGCGGATACTTCGAAGAAGCCGTTTGAGTAAGTCCTGACGTGTCCGGTTTGGCTAACCACTCCTATCGAATGGTCACTGCTGGTCCATAGGAACCTGCCGTCGCCGCCTTTTGCCACTAAATCGATGTCATATCTGGAAACAAAACAGTGGATTTTTAAATATACCAAACACACAAAAAAATCTGCCCAACCAAATGCTTTTTTCATAAACGTGAAAAGTAATTGCTTACACACTACAATTTTGTTTAGAATGGGCTCAATTTTTTTGTGGAATTTCGAAGTATGAAAATTTCGAAGTATGAAATTCACTAATTTTTGAGAAATAACTTTTGCGGTATTTGCATATCTGTGATCTTTTTTATACACATAAAACATCCTGGATGTTTCAAATAAAGCAACTTTGACTTATTTGACCCAATTATCATATTTTGGCAACAAGATTATCTATATAGTAGCATTGTGCTTCTTCATTTAAATATATCCTATACATACAGGGTGTCCAGGAAATAATGGCCAATCCCTTGGAAAATTTGTAATTAGTACATTATTTGAGGTTATAAACAGATTTGTTTTATAAAAATGTGGAAGATAATATATAATGGTACTTCTCTCTCGAATATTTTCGTGTTTTTTTAATTTATAAGCATCCTGTATATCTAATCTAAGATGTTTATATGACAGTCTCATTTTTTCGAGGGGCAGAACTTTTTATAAAGTCAAAAACAAGAGTTTCTCCTCTTGTCAACTCCATCCGTGGACACATTGTATATACATTATTAATAAACTTTATTGTACTTAAATTCTCAAGTTTTTACTAAATTATTTTATTAAAAAAGTAAAAAAATCAAAAAATCTTATTTTTTGTTCTTTAAAAGTGTTTATTAACGATTTTTTGCATAAGATGTTTATATGACGGTCTCATTTTTTCGAGGGGCAGAACTTTTTATAAAGTCAAAAACAAGAGTTTCTCCTCTTGTCAACTCCATCCGTGGACACACTGTATATACATTATTAATAAACTTTATTGTACTTAAATTCTCAAGTTTTTACTAAATTATTTTATTAAAAAAGTAAAAAAATCAAAAAATCTTATTTTTTGTTCTTTAAAAGTGTTTATTAACGATTTTTTGCATAAGATGTTTATATGACGGTCTCATTTTTTCGAGGGGCAGAACTTTTTATAAAGTCAAAAACAAGAGTTTCTCCTCTTGTCAACTCCATCCGTGGACACACTGTATATACATTATTAATAAACTTTATTGTACTTAAATTCTCAAGTTTTTACTAAATTATTTTATTAAAAAAGTAAAAAAATCAAAAAATCTTATTTTTTGTTCTTTAAAATAGTTTATTAACGATTTTTTGCATAAAATTTTTCTTTTAAATTTTTTAAATAAGCCATTTCAATGGGAAATTCAATTCTCTACAAAATTTTTCGTATGAACTATACCGAAATTTTGCTTCGTTTTTGTGCTATATTTAAAAAACTTGCAAAAGTGCATTTTCACCCCTATCTTCAATTTCAACTCTCTAATTTAATAGCACCCCGCGGTTTTTTCATTTTTAATGACCCTTCGAACAAGTCGTGATGAAAATCCTTGAACGTCTTATTTCCTTCCTTTTTTACAAAAAATGAGAATTAAAACCCATAAGGGTAAATGCGACGAAAATCGAAAAATTGACTAAGTTTGAGCGGCCATATATCAGTCAATTTTCATCCAAAAATACTCTACAATCTCTTGTTTTGAAGGAAATTTTATATACTTTTTTTCTATGAAGCAATGCCTATACCTATCTCTGCTCAGAAAAAAGTTATTTGCATAAAAGTAAAAAAAACAAAAAATTGATTTTTTTGCATTTTTTTGTAAAATTGTTTTTAATATATTTTGCAGGAAATAATTTTTTAAATTTTTTAAATAAACTATTTCGATAGAAAATCCCATTATCTACAAAATTTCCTAATCCTATGCAATACCCTCAAATTTTGTTTTGTTTTCGAGATATACTCAAAAAACTGTAAGGGTTGCATTTTCATCCCTATCTCCAATTTCCACCCTCTAATTTAATAGCACTCCGCAGTTTTTTCTTTCTGAATAACCATTTGAACAATTCATGCAATAAAAACCCTTAGTACCCTGCTTTTTAAGATATAACCAATAGACTATGATTACAGTACCAAATTTTATAAAGATATAGTTCTTATTCCACAAATATTTAAAAATACTCAATTTTCTTTAATTCAAAGTCTACATCTTGGAAACGATTATCCTCGATCTTGTATAATTTTTTTGTATTTCCATTTTAGCTTTTGATTAGCGGCTTATAAATGAACATTAAAAACTTACTTTGGCCTCGTAATTGGGTCCCAGGGTAGAATAACTTCCGACGGTGCGATGGTAATGCGTGGATATATCATGAGATCACCTCTCGCAGTTATTGGTTTTGGAAACGTTATTTTTCCAGTTTTTTCATGGTAAACTTCCTCTAGTGAGGCTTGCACAACAGCAACTGTAGATTTTATTCCAAAGCCGCTCATCCAACTACCGTTGGCAGTACGCGATGCGACGTGAAATTCTGGTGAAACGTCCATATACATCTGTACTGAACTTCCTATGTAAAGTTTATGGTCAGAACTGAAATAAATTTCATTAAGTTAGATTTCCATATAAAATTTTAAAATGAATTATACCTGGAATAAACTTCTGCTACAATGTCATGATGATCTCCTAGTAAGATTGCCCAATTTTTATATGGTAATACATTTAAGACTACATATTCTGGTTGAACAACGTGTAAATTTGCTGCAGGTAGCTTTAAAATGGTATCGTTATCACCTACATTTCTGTCACGTAATACAATTCTAGTATGTCCTTCTGCAAGAGCTGTCACATTCCCAGATTTTTTAAAAGATGATGCTATATCAGAATTTTCTGCCTCTAGGTAATACTGAGAGTCAGGTAGCTCAATTTCTTCCATACGACCATTGTTTAACTGGAAGTGATTAATATATATATTTAAAATCAAAAGTAAGCAATAAATCTAAATACAAAAAACTATGAAAACTGATAGCATGAAATTTCTTCAGTTTTCAAATTTTTTTAAATCCAAAAAAAAAAGTTAAAATATGTAAACCTGTCTGTTGTGAAATAGACTTACATAAAAAATTTTATATGGAACTACATCCCCTGGCATAACATAAACATCTGGTGGGGTTATTAACAAATTTGCCACAACCATCAACTGAACTTCATTAGCTTCAATATGTTTATACTCAGGCCAAGGCAATCGTACTGTAACCTAAAATTTCAATATTTTGTTTTCCAAAAATCAGTATAATATAATGCTCATACTACCTTAGCGGCACCACTCTTAACACCCTCAAGTAAAATAGAATAGCCTTTCTTACCCTCATTTTCTAAAGCAGAAATTGCAGGAGGAGTTTCGTAAGGCGAATCCCTAAATGTAATATAACGTAAAACCACATCTTTGTTAGGACTTAAGGGAACTATATTCCATTCAAATTCTATTCCTTCTAATGAGGAAAACTCATTGCCTAGTAATAAAATAATAAATAGGTTATTTCACTCTATAATCTAATTAAATGGGTACCTTGATCGTCATAAGCTTGAACTTCAAAATTTTCTGGAGCCTCTTCCATAAACAGTTCCCTTGTAGTTGTGGAAATTAAAAGAGAATTTATAACATCTACAATCACATCACATCTTAAAGTTTGTTTTGTATGAACATCCTCTGCTAACACTACAGCAATATTTCTAGCAGCCTCTTTGGTAATAGCAGTTATTACAACTTTTGACGAGCACTGTAAGTCAATATCTTCATCTAATGCTGTTATTTGAATAATATCATTTCTCGTCGTGCTCCTATAACCAATAATTAGTGTTTTTGTTGGAAAATTCATTTTATTACATACCATTTGTAGCAACCTCCTTCTGTAGCTTCTAAAGTAAATTTAGCGGAAAAGTCGTTAAATACTGGAAGTAACACACGCGGTACATTTAATTTTGAACACTTTATGTTAATAAATAATAAAAATAAATTTAATATCACATTTTGCAGCCAAAGCTTTCTAATCGCCATAATTTTGTTCAAAACAGCGCCAATGCATGGGTCCAAAACATTCTTTGATAATTAGAGGTTAGAATTAAATTTGAAAATCAAATAAGCTTTGAACGTTAGTTGATCTTACACTGCGTTACACTTACTGGATTTGGAGTAATGTGGAGTATTACTTTTCTCGGTGCAGGTATAGTAACAACGCGCCATTATTCTATGGCTAGAAATTGGCCTCAATGATTTGGGATCGAGGGGGATTATCCCTCTTTATCCTG